GCGGCCCCAATGCCGACGTTTTTGAACATGATGGACAGATGGGGCTGCCTGTCCCAGGCCGAGGTTGATTTTTACTGATTTTGTTTGCTACCAAGGGCGGAATAAAATCAGACAGTTGCTGGCGGTGCTTGTATAATGGTTGATGCCTGAGGTCTGTTGACCCATTGCACCACAGCAGTGGAGCTAAGATGCCCGGGTAGTTTGACCGAGTCGTAGTTCGATTTACTGTAGCAGGTTATGGAAGAATAAAAGGAGAGGTGTGAAAAAGACGGCTCGAGAGTTGTGGCAGATATGTGCTTGGTGAGAGACCCGATTTTGCAAACGGCGGGAGGTTTCACTATAGATGAGTTAGCATTGAATTATGCACTATTATTGGAGAGATATGGGACAAGTTCGACTTACCAATCCAGCTGATGTATCAGATGGGTCGGTTTGGTGTGTGAGTTGAGATTGTTTATTTCCACAACCCGTGAAACAACTACTGGCCTCCCGCAGGACAAATTTATTTGTTGCTCGAGCAGTTCACCGTGACGGGATGTGAGATGAAGTTGAAGGGCGACGGGAGAACCAATCAGGCCTGAGGTCCCACTAAATAACTGCTGGGGGTTGCTGGGGGTTGCTGGGCGAAGCTGCCCCACCTTCCCATGCCACACTGTTGTCAGTATAACCACTTGGAAGTGGAAGGAACTCCCGAACGGTGGGGATTTTGGTTAGTACAGCCCTTAATTGGCACTTGGCAGCGACAATCTGTTAAGATGTCGAGGAAGGCCAGCTTTAGAGTGGGAATGGTTTCTTTGAGATTATGTAGAAATGTCTTTGTCTTCTTCAAAACTGGGAATGCCTTGGCGTGCAAGAAGGCCTTCTTTCTAACTGCAAAGACTTTTTATGATGTAGAGGGCTTTCTAAGACGTAGAATGCCGTTTTCTATAATGCGGAGCATTTCTTTAAGAGAGGGAAGGCTTCTTTAGAACAGGTAAGACCTGTTTAAAAATAACGAAGGCCTTCTTTTAAGACTATTAAGTCTTTGAGCAAACCAAGTTAGACAGTGTCCTTGATTGTAAAATGGAGGGGAGGGTGTTGCTTGCTACTTGTAGATGTCCTGGTGCTCCCAAATGTTCAATTGGAATGTTGTCATGAGCTTCGTCATATCTTCTTCATCTTACAACATATATAAATGCCGAGCTTTGTGGCGTTGGTTGTATATCAACACCCATAACTGATTTTGAGAGTGTTTTTCTTGCAAATCAGCCATGTCGCCGGCATCTCAGCGTGGGGAGAGCCGATGCTACCCTTGCAAGTTCAAGGTTCAAGCTTCGGCACGTGATATCCCCTTTGAAGTGCATGGTTGATGTTTGAAGACCCCGGCTTGTCCAAGCCCCGAAAGTGACAAGCGCACTTCTTTGCTTCAGATATGTAGAAAGTGATCTTGTGTTGATTCCTAGTAAATTCAATAGCATATTGAGTATCGGATCTTATTCACCTTGTCACTTTTCTTATAGGTAGACACCCGACAGAAGTGCCAACCTGAAGATAGACGCAGGCAAAGAGCGCTATCAGCCATCCTAAAACAGGCCCCGAACACCGCCACTTGTTCGTCAGCTGCGGCGCTCGACCAACTGCCCTGCCTGAGTGAGACCCACCTGCCTGAGCCGCACCGCCCTGCCCTCATTGACTCCTGGACGCTGCTTGCCTGGGCGTTTGACGGGAACCTGGCATTTGGCATCTGGCTTTGGCATCCCGTCTTTGTGCACTTGCATCAACGCATCCAACATCTACCGATCGACGACAACCTCCCCGGGACATTTCTGATTCATCTCGACCACAAACACCTGAATCGCAGCCATGGCCAACGACGAGTACGATGTAAGCCTTGCTTTCCCAAACTCGTGCCTGGGAACCCCTTGATGGACATTGCGCTGACGAGACCCTCTTTCTGCTCCATTAGTTCCTATTTAAAGGTGCCTACCCCCGACCGCGCCCGCGCAACGAGACGCATCATGTCGCTGACCTTGACGTTTATCTACAGTGGTGTTGATTGGAGACTCTGGTGTCGGAAAGTCGAACCTGCTCAGCCGGTTCACCCGCAATGAGTTCAACTTAGATTCCAAGTCGACCATCGGCGTCGAGTTCGCCACGAGATCGATCCAAGTCGACAACAAGACCATCAAGGCACAGATCTGGGACACTGCGGGTCAGGAACGGTATCGCGCCATCACCTCTGCCTACTACCGCGGCGCCGTCGGCGCTCTGCTTGTTTACGACATCAGCAAGAACATCACCTACGAGAACGTAACCCGGTGGCTGAAGGAGTTGCGGGACCATGCCGACAGCAACATTGTTATCATGTTGGTAGGAAACAAGAGCGATTTGCGACACCTGCGAGCCGTTCCCACGGACGATGCCAAGAACTTTGCGGGTATGTTTGCGACGCCTCCGGCAACAATATGGATGCCTGGGATGTGCTGGGCTTGGGCTGACGTATGCGTTTTGTAGCCGAGAACCACCTTTCTTTCATTGAGACCTCAGCCCTCGATGCGACCAACGTCGAGCTTGCCTTCCAGAATATTTTGACCGGTACGTCCCATTCGCTTACTTGACATGGTTGAAAACTTAATGGGGACTAATACTTTGCATTCCAGAAATCTATAACATCGTATCGACCAAGAGTTTCGCCGAGGAGGACGGCAAGAAGTTCGACCCAAGGGAGGGTGGCACAAACATCACGTTGAGCCAGGAAGGGCCAAAGGGGGAGTCTAAGGGTTGCTGTTAATAGGCGGATATGATTACACATGGCGTCACTTTATGTCTGATATGAACGGGGACCGGGATTCTTATGGCCATGGGAGAGGAAACGGATCTTGCTAAGCCTCCCGGGGATGCGTTCTACTAGCTTGTTTTTGTTGTCTACTGCTTTTACATACCTTTACTGGTTGTTGAGATTTCTACAAATGGGTTTTCCGTTTTCCGACCATCATTCAGGCATGGTTTTACGAGGCAGTTAGTTGAGTGAACTGGGATAATATATTTTTACTAAACTACCTTGGCTCAGTCCTGTTGGTGTGTCTACGTCGTGCGCTCCATCATGATGTCTTGCGTCACCGGATCATGTGTCAATGGATTCTCTGCGGCCCGGACGGAGGCCCTTCGGATACCTCCTTTCGCAGGATACAATCGGACATGGATTTTTTCTACTCGCTTTCATTGGCATCTTTTTAGGGTTCGTTTCAAGTTTCAGGCACGTGCAAGTTCAAAAAGTCGGGTCTTGGCTTTCGACTTTCAACAGCGCAGCGCCCCCCATTGGAGACCCCTTGCTCCGTGCCCCTCGCTCACCGCCTTCCACCAAGCAACGCTAAGATAAGCCTTATCTGGAGTGGGGCCGCGAATCAGTGGACGAACTTTTTTTCTGTTGCTTGCATTGCCAATTGATTGCTGCTGCTATCTATCGACTGGCATCCGTTACCATAACTTTTTGCGACCGACGAACTGCAACACCCCACCCATTCTTTTGACCAGAGCAAATATTCTCTTTTGATACCCCAGAAAAAACTTGGAACAGAAGGACAGCACATACGCAAACTCATGGCGGCCGTCTACAAATCGCTGGCCAAGACCAGCAAGGCTGACAAGATGGACATCGACGACGATGCGAAGAATGGCAGCAGCAGCAGTGGCGTCAGGAAAAACAAGCAGAGGGTGTTGATTCTTTCTTCCAGAGGCGTTACTTACAGGTGTGTAACATACCTTGAGCATTGCGCAAAAAGAAATAGACAAGGCTAATTAACGGAATGACAATGCGCAGACACCGACATCTCCTCAACGACCTCGCGGCGATGCTCCCCCACGGGCGAAAAGACGTCAAGTTCGACTCCAAGTCCAAGCTGTACCAGCTGAACGAGCTGGCCGAGCTGTACAACTGCAACAATGTCATGTTTTTTGAGGCGCGCAAGGGGAAGGATCTGTACATATGGTTCAGCAAGGTTCCCAACGGGCCAACGATCAAGTTTCATGCTCAGAATTGTGAGTTTCTTTCCTACACTTGTGGAGGTATTGAGGGAACAGGAGACTGACATTGTTTTTTTCTGCGCAGTGCACACAATGGAAGAACTCCACTTTCAAGGTAACTGCCTCAAGGGTTCGCGACCAATCCTCTCCTTTGACGCCACATTCGAGACGGAACCGCATCTCAGAGTCATCAAGGAGGTCTTTACGCACATGTTTGGCGTCCCCGAGGGCGCGCGCAAGTCGAAGCCTTTTATCGACCACGTCATGGGTTTCAGCGTAGCAGATGGAAAGATTTGGATTCGCAACTACGAGATCCGGGAGGTGGCCAAAGTAAAAGGCGAGGGCGAGGAAGATGAGGAGGAGAACAAGAAGGCGAAGAAGGGCGGGGATAGCAACCAGACGGATATCAGCCTGATTGAGATTGGGCCGAGGTTTGTCTTGACTCCGATCATCATGCAGGAGGGCGCGTTTGGCGGGCCGATTATTTACGAGAATAAGAGGTTCATCTCGCCGAACCATGTGCGTTCTGAGCTGCGGAGGAGCAAGGCGAGCAAGCATGTGGCTAGGCAGGAGCAGACGAGGGATAACCTGGCGAGGAAAAGGAAGCTGGGTTTGGAGAATGGGGAGGTGTTTAAGGATAAGAGTGGTTTAGATACCCGGGAGCTGTTTGCGTAGAGCGGGAAGAATGGAATGAGGCTCTTCTATTTCTTGTACGGCAAGTTGATATCAGATCAAGCGACACCCCTGTCCTTGTCAAAAGTTGGGGTGGATTGGTGTAATTACGGAGTGACGGGTGGTAAATTACTGTAATAAGCAAGTTTTGGGAATTTATTAACATCAGTCACCCTGCCTTCTCTTATACATTTGATCGCCTATTTCTCCAAAAATGCTAGGCTTCTCAAAGACATAACGTCCCTAGTTCAGCTCAACCTATTGTAAGCATGATACAGGTTGTCTTTCTTACCATCCCGCCCTATAAAAATAGGGCCAAAAGTGTTTGCAGACAGTGGGGTTCGAACCCACGCATCTCTCGATAATGGTGATAAAGTTATATGCAACTTAAAACCATCGCCTTAGACCACTCGGCCATGTCTGCTTTGTCATTGACGTTTTTTTGAGGCTGTCTTTGAGCTCATGTTAGTATCCTCTGCACTGTTTTGGAGGCTGTTTTAAGCACGATTCTAAGCTCATCATATCAGTCATCCTCTCTGCTGACTGTTTCCCCCTTCCTCAGAATACATACTCTGATACCCTCCTTACAGTTGCCAGAAAAAAGCTCTGCAGAAAGAACGCGGGGAATACAATTCTGGACTGGGTGCGATATGGCGTTTTGTATACCACTGGCCGTCACCGGTTGCGAAACAACAGCACGGCGGTGTCGTCGTTAACGGCGGCGATGCTTATAGCATAACTTTTGATAGCCGCCCCAAGGAAGGGGTGGTTGAACTTTAGATTTTTTCAGCAGTGTTCTTCCGCCTCCTCCCATCTCATCTCGAGGAGGAGCTCAGTAGGGGGCGTGTTTCTTTTGTTGTTGTTATTCCATTTTTGTTTGTAAGAGGTGTAAGAGCGATGAAGTTGGTGAGTATTCACAAGACCATTTTGGTTGAACGAGAAAGAGTAACATTATGTTCTTGTAGGCCGATCAGCAAAAAGTCCCAATCGGTGAGAAATATTTGCCATTTATGTATAGCTATCTCGCGTAAGAATGAAGTCACTAACATTTGTGTGTAGATTTCAAGATGTTGTTGATCAAGGGCAGCTCGGAGATTGAGAGAAGATTAGTGCTTGATGAGCTGCCGGTTGAGATCATAGTCGACATCCGCCTACCAGCTAGACTTTGACGGGGGTTGACAATATGTTCTGTGTTAGTAGGTTCATTCGCTGCCTCTTGGAGAGATACTGGCGGTCTATTGTGCCGGAGATCATCGAGAGGGAGTTTACGCCTGTTGAGCTGTTCTTCCAAGCGCTTTCTTCTTCCGACCCTCCTCTGATAGGCAGCGTGGAGGTGTCTGCTTGTTAATGGCTGGCAAGACTGAACCCTAACGGTGGTGTTGGCGGTGACAGGGGACTGGGACGTATTTTGAGCTTTTGTAGAAGTGTCGAGCTTTGGGAAGGAGAGTTTCAGCGGTCGAGGTTTTATGACTGCGAAGTGGAGCATACGAGGCTGTTGAGGTGGAGGGAAAGGAAGAGGGCTAGGAGGGGTGTATATTTGGGTTGGTCCGCGAGGTTGTGCCATACTAGTAGGCAGGGAAGAGGGACACTTAAGGGGGTAAGATTTATGAGATGCTTTTCGACCACGGAGTTGCATGAACTGGGGCACTTGTGGCGTACAGCTTTGGGCTTTGGTTGGGAGGGAGGTTGGTCCTTCTTTTAGGAGAGCGATGGAGGAACTGGTGAGTCTATACCTTCAAACAGTTGATATGGGGATTCTAATGATGTTGATGCGCAGGGAGATCTGTTAGCAGAGCCGAGGCAGAGAGGATCGGTTGGGGAGACGGGGATGAAAACGCGCAGATGATGGGGACGGTGAGGAAACTGGGGCCAGAGGATGTGTTGAAATTACTGAGGGAGAGGTGGAGGCTCGGGGGTAGACAGAGTCTGGTGGGGTGGATTATGATGAAGGGGCCTTGGTGAGTAACACTTGGTACTGCGGGCGGGTATTGAGATGTATATTGACAGACATGTAGGTCTGAGGATAGCACTGAGGTGCTTAGTATGACCATCTTGAGTGCGAGATATGGGAGCCTGAGTTAGCGAGATCGCCTTTTCCTGTGGATGAGTTTCCTGGGAGGCATGGGGGAGTGCTTGATCATGAGACGCTGGAGGGTGAGGAGTTGAGGGCTGTTCATGGCGCTGATGGAGGGAGGGAGTGGTGCCATTCTGGTCGATATGGGCATGAGTGTGAGGTGTTTGTTCTTGGGGGCGTTCGGGAGGGGAGATTGGTTGCGAGTAGGTATTGAAAGTTGATGGTGAAGCTGGGTTTATGAGAGGAGATGGCTTGTTTGTCTCCGGTTGATCAACCTAAGGCGCGTTGTGATTCATAGAATTGGGGGTGCTATAGGAAGAGAAGAGCGTCTTGATAAAGACCGGATAGAAGAAATATAGGAAAAGAAGGTGAACAAGGGGATAACCCGCGATTAGCATGAGAGTGATGGCCACTTTCTTGATGAGCTGTGGCGGCCCCACCATAGGGAGGTCGCAGGCAGGCTCCCAACGCCAAATTTGAGGGTTCGCCTTTCCTGACCGCAGAGGTTACAGTGCATTGCACCGAAATTCCAATTGCTCATGCAGTTGGAATACTATTTCTTGTTTAATTAAATTCTTCATTTCTTTGATAGAGAACAGTAAAGCCTTTGCTTTTCTACCAAAGCACATTTGCGCTGGGCGTGCGCATTATTCTGTGGTGGGGCGGCAGCGGCTCTCAGTTGCAGGCGCTGGCGGTCTTTCAGTGGTCGCCCAGCCACTCACTCCGGAAACCAAACAAGACTACAGACAGTTCAGACTCACCATCACCGACCACCACACAAACGAGGCATGCGTCACAACCTACATTGCTGGATCATCCTATTCTCCGACAGAGGTACGTTGTCTATCCTTGAGAGTATTCTCGAGGCAATCTGGGGGCCCTGCGCCAGGAGTCTTGCAGCGTGGCAGCTGGCAGACCAAGCAGCATCCCGTCTCATCTCACATCCCCTTCCTCAACCTACCCGACTGCATCAAGCACCGCTATTCAGCAACACGTCTTGCACTTCCAGTCATAAGTAGACGTGTATTCCGGAGAGCTCTTTCACTTGGAAGTTCTTCTTCTTTTCTTCGAAGTTCCTTTCAAGTTTTTCGAGCAATGTTTCGCCGGGATATCTAGTCGCGAGGCTGCTGCAAGTCCCACCTTCAAGCTCCTCATCCTCTAGCAAGTCTTAAGCTCTTTCATCCTTTTTCACTTGAAACGGGAACGTTTCGGGGGTGTGATAGGAATCGGGTGATCTAGCGGGTACTTGCTCATCAACGAACATTATTCACGCCTTGCTGCCCAGTTTATCTTCGGGGCCTCTACGCTGTTTGCTCTTGGCACATTTCCTTTCACCTTCCCAGTCAATGTCTTTCTTGATTTTGAAGAGTCGGCGCTAACAAGAAACAGACACCAACCTCGCATCGGCGGCACCCTCACCTCACACACTTCCTTTGCTGGCCAGGTCCCGGCGGCAGTATGGATGACCTCGACCAAGATGTCGTTATGGACGGGACAGCTGATGCACCTTCCTTGCCTTCTGCCAACGGATATTCAGAACCGACCTCCAAGTCAGCAGGAAGTTCCCTGGAGACACCAAACGGCCACAGCGCAGATGGATCCTCGAGCAAGGTAGAGCCAGGCGATGGCTTTCCCGAGCACTTCAGACGCAAAGGATTGCTGCCGACCGGCTGCTGTTACGACGACCGCATGAAGCTGCATGCGAATGCGGATTTTGGGCCAAATCCTCACCACCCGGAAGACCCATCACGCATCGAAGTCATCATGAGGATCTTTAAGAAGAACGGCCTTGTATTCACAGGCTCGGATGCCGATCTCCTTGACGTCTTGAACAGCCATCCGACCAAGTATATGTGGAGGATCCCCGCCAGGGAAGCAACAGAAGAGGAAATTCGGACTGTCCACCGCGTAGAGCACTTCAATTGGGTCAAGGCTCTCGCTACAAAGTCCACGCATGAGCTCCGTCAGATTTCAGCAATAATGGACCAAGGCCGCGATTCGCTTTACGTTGGGAGTATGACTTATGAAGCCTCTCTGATCTCGGCTGGCGGTGCCATCGAAACCTGCAAGGCGGTAGTTACCGGTACCGTCAAGAATGCGTTTGCCGTCATTCGACCACCAGGGCATCACGCCGAGTATAACCAACCGATGGGATTTTGTCTCTTCAACAATGTTCCCATCGCCGCCAAGGTCTGTCAGAAGGAGTACCCTGATATCTGCCGGAGGGTCATGATTCTGGATTGGGATGTTCACCACGGCAACGGCATCCAGAACATGTTTTATGAGGACCCAAATATTCTCTATATATCTTTGCATGTCTACAAAAACGGAGAGTTCTACCCTGGGAGACATGAAAATCCCATGATCCCGGATGGTGGCATGGAACAATGCGGTGCTGGAAACGGACTGGGAAAAAATATCAACATCGCCTGGCACGACCAGGGTATGGGTGATGGCGAGTATATGGCTGCTTTCCAGAAGATTGTCATGCCAATTGGCCAGGAGTTCAACCCCGACCTCGTCATTATATCGGCTGGTTTTGACGCCGCAGCCGGAGACGAGCTCGGCGCCTGTTTCGTCTCGCCTGCTTGCTACGCCCACATGACACACATGTTGATGTCTCTAGCCGGCGGCAAGGTGGCTGTCTGCTTGGAAGGCGGGTACAACCTCTCTGCCATCTCCAAATCCGCTCTGGCGGTCGCTCAGACCTTGATGGGTGAGCCACCCCCGCAAATGGAGATTCCCAGGATCAACAAGGAAGCCAGCAAGGTGCTGGCGAAGGTGCAGGCTTACCAGGCGCCATATTGGGAGTGCCTGAGGCCTGGTATTGTTGACGTCCCAGACATGATAAGACACGATTCATCACGCCTCCACGATGTGATACGATCAGCCCAGAGACAGCACTTGTCAGACAATCACGGGATGCTTCCGCTATACATCCAACGCAACATCATTTTTAGGTCATTTGAGAACCAGGTATTGGTCACCAAGGGTATACAGTCGGCGAAGAAGCTACTGTTGATTGTCCATGACCCTCCTGAGTTGCATGGACAGCCAGACCCGCTGGATAATTCCCTGGAGCCACACAATGCTTGGGTCGTAAGTTTGCTGTTGTTTATCCCACAATTACTTGAAGGAAAACAGCTAACGTTTACCAGTCGGATGGGGTAACCAAGTACATCGAATGGGCCATCGAGAATGAGTTTGGGGTGATCGATATCAACGTTCCCCACTACATCACGAGGACAGACGACACGGAGCATTTCACGCCCCGGATGGACGAGAAGACGCTACAGATGCATCTCCAGGATCTGATGTGTTATATCTGGGACAACTATCTCCAACTTTAT